ATATATACATACATATTATATTATATATATATGTATATATGTGCAGTGATAGTGTAGTGATAGTGTAGTGATAGTGTAGTGATAGTGTAGTGATAGTGTAGTTATACGTTAATAGTTATACTATGTCTATCCGTGTAAAAGTATGGTGCATAATAGCACTACTTGTATTACTGTTATGTAGGTTAAGGTTAGTAGCTGGTAGTGCTAGTGTAAGTAGCAGTGAATAAGTAGTGTATAGTGTATGATATTGTGTATAGGCAGTGTATAGTAGAAATTCTATAAGTCCTATTACTATAGTAGAAACAGTGTATCATTATAGTATAAGTTAATTTAATTTATTAGTACTTTGTCTTAATAGTGCAACTTAGTGGTGTATAAGTTAGTGTTTAGTACGGATAAGTTAGCATGTAGTGGATCATATAGTGTATAAGCACTAGTGTGTGGGAATAATATGATACAGCACTTGTTATGATAAATTTAGTGCATGATAAGATAGGATGATATATGGTATAGTTTATAGGGTGTAGTAACGGTGTCGTAGATAAGATGAGTAATAGTATGATAGATACAATGTATGTATATACTATATTCATCTATTAATATATATATATGATAAGATAATACGATATGATCTATATCATATCATTGCTATGGTACCATTATATGATAGGGTAATATATGGTACAGAAATTGTATAGTATAATATAACTATTACCATTACTATAGTATTACTTTGCCTCTGTAAAGGACCCCAGGAAAGACATGTTCCCCCAATCGTTTATCAAAACGTATCAAAACATATCTCTAACAAAGACTCGTCAGTGCCTATAAATAAACGACCTTCAAACAGCTCAGGCCAAATTTGAGTACCCTCTACCGCTTCTAATCTGCATCAAAAATAGTCATGGCTACACAAACCGATGACTGCCTCGATGACAAGATTATGTTGCAATATTCTGTGCTTACTATATTACACTAATACTAGCATAGTACCGTATAGCATTGAGAAAATATTGCAAAAATGTGCTATAATATCATTCATACTATATATTATGGTGCACCGCAATATTTTACTACATTACACCACAGCACTGTGAGAATTCCGATCCACCAGTCTGCAAAGGGGCATGGTACAAGGTGTTCATTTGCACTCACACATCAGATACTAGCATAGGGAAATGTATGAAAACATAATGTCGGACATTGCCAATTCAGTGTTTCTTACAACTCACCAACTAAACGTCAAAGCGTATGTTTAAAACAAATGATCAATTTCCAAGCAAAACACTGATCATAATACCGGCCGGACTTGGGCACCCAGAAAGTCAATGACCCAGATTGAACCCAAAAAAATATCGATATCTGCCAACAATGACAAACAAGAACCTACAGTATTCTTTAATATTCTTTATGTTTATTCGTACATGTTGATCCCTTTTGGCTCCACGCCATTTACCCCACAGATTAGAAACTTGAGCACAAGAGACTGAACCATTTCTACCCCCTAGTAATCTAATGTATCCATTGAACATGGCCATGGTCAATAGGTACTCTAGGGCCCCAGGGCAAATTAACATAGATGTGGAAAACCCATGGTTTCCGTAGGAAAACAATCTACACATGGTGGTTTTCCCAGATCTTTTGTTGGATCCCCTTACATAATCCAGCTGGCTATTCGATCCTGTGAAGTCAAAGGTTTTCACTACAATTATCATAACATCTAGTCATTTAATGTTGTTTTTAATGGAAAAAATATGATACAGTCATTATAGCCATGAAAAGAACCGTCAGTTTCTCCTTCCCTAGAATTAGCCTGTGGTAATTTAACATAGCCATGGAACATGACCCATGTGTATTTTCATAGTTTACCTATTCAAATGATCATGTCCATGGCCATGGCTTCCATGGCTTTCTGAAAAATGACCGCTGTTCGTCGTCCCTTTATTACACTGGTTGGTTGGGAACCGGATTCCCCAAATGGATGGTGGATCCGCGTCGCCTCACCGCGACGCGGATTGCTGCCACGGGGCAGTACGGCCATGCCAGGAAGCGTGGATTCCTTTGGAAGTTGCGAGGGATCCTCGCGGTGATACAACTCGCCTACCGCGCGGTAGGAAGTGCGCCGTGCCACCGAGTGCGGAGATGTCATGGGTGTAACATATGTACGTACGTACGTGCATGCGTGCGTGCGTATCTACCTACCTACCTACCTATCTATCTATCTGTCTGTCTGTCTATCTATCTATCTGTCTATCTATCTATCTATCTATCTATCTATCTGTCTGTCTACCTATCGATCTATCTATCTATCTATCTTTATGTCTTTCTTTCTTTATGTCTTTTCCTTTTTTCTTTCTTTCTTTCTAATCTATCTAATCTATCTAATCTATCTAATCTATCTAATCTATCTAATCTATCTGATCTATCTAATCTATCTAATCTATCTGATCTATCTATCTATCTATCTATCTATCTATCTGTCTATCTATCTATCTGTCTGTCTGTCTATCTATCTATCTATCTATCTGTCTATCTATCTATCTGTCTATCTATCTATCTGTCTTTCTATCTATCTATCTGTCTATCTATCTATCTGTCTATCTATCTATCTGTCTGTCTATCTATCTGTCTATCTATCTATCTGTCTATCTATACATCTATCTATCTATCTGTCTATCTATCTGTCTATCTATCTATCTATCCGTCTGTCTGTCTATCTATCTATCTATCTGTCTGTCTATCTATCGATCTATCTATCTGTCTATCTATCTATCTATCTATCTGTCTGTCTATCTATCTATCTGTCTGTCTGTCTATCTATCGATCTATCTATCTATCTATCTATCATCTACCTAGCTAGCTAGCTAGCTATCTATCTATCTATCTATCTAACTTTAGATGCATGTATGTATCTATGCATGTATGCATGCATGGTTGTATGAATCCATGCATGTATGTATACATGTATGTTATGTATGCATGTATGAATGCATGTGGGCATGTATGTATGCATGTATGCATGCATGGAAAAATGAAGTCCAAGAAAATGACATATGTAACCCAATTTGAGGATATTCATGGCAACTTTGTAGTAGTGAAAATAAGGGTCCAAATCATTGGAATTTGGCAGTGCTCATTCTAGGACATGTCCACATTGGGCCGCTAATCCTCAATAATACACCCTCACACTCACATTAAAATGGTGATATCATGACTGAGGAGCTTGACAAAGACATTTAAGGGAACAATCATTGAACGTCATGTGGCTGAAGTGGTAGATACTTTATATTTCTGTTAAGCTGGGTGCCGGGTAGTATACATGTATATATATAGCTTGCCCTCCAACTGATTATCAACCAAAATAGATATGGAAAACCCATGGTTTCCCTAGGAAATTATCTAGAAACATATGTGTTGATTTACTGGAGTGTAAATGATGGTTTCGCGAGGATGGGATAGTTGAGCCACGTCCATTCATCCCCAAACAATATGATGGCTTTGTCGGTCCGTGGACGAATACAAGGTGGTGCCCCTTAGCTATATTTTCGTTTACAACCCCATCTAAGTATAGTTCTAATCACCATAAACCCCAGTTAACCTAGTTATAAACCAACTTAGCAACTATGGGGCACCACCTTGTACCTTATACAGTACCTTTGCATGGCATGGCGTATATAACACTTATTGTGGATACACTGTAATATATTGTAGTATATGCATAATTCGATGGGATTTATATTCAGAGGGGTTATACGGTTGTACCAACCTCCATTTGCATGCAGGAAAGGTTCAATATACAACTAACATCCACTGTCTTTGGATTTGAAACTTAGTATTGTCAACAACAGAATAACTAAGTACTTTATCACTAGATTTTACAATATATCATGATATATATCTACAATTAGATGGGATACTTCAATATCTATATCTATCACCATCTAGTTGTCATATTCATCATGGAAATAATATTATCTGATGAGATATCATCCGTTATATTCTTTTAATTCTTTTATATCTATATTTAGATGGGATTATCTATCATTAGATGGGATAATGAATTATGAATTATAGATGATTGTTTCATTCGATGGATCATATTTGGATGGGATCATTATATAATCAAATAATTACATTGTTACATGTGATTTTCCCGTGAATAGTTGATCACAGCCATAAACCTCCCTTTAGTTTGGGGAATTCTAATTGCTATGTTTCATTACCGGAGGGCATGTTCCCTTTATAACCCAATTATTATCCGACTATTCTCCCTGTAAATCCGACTAAAAATCCGACTAAAAATCTATATAAATTCCTAAAAATCCCTATTAATCCCTATTACTTCCTGTAAATCCCTATTGAATTCCTATAAATCCCTATAATTCCTTTAAATCCCTATAATTTCCTATATGTAAATCCCTATAAAGCCTAAACATCCATCCGTCCACTCTCCAGGCACCTCGTTGTGCCGCCGTGGCTGCGCCAGGCAGCTGCGCGCTGCTGCAGGAGTAGGCGCGGCGCAAGTGACGCACCTCGCCACAGGGTTGGCATGAGAGGATGTAAAATATGGCACTTACCCTCTGGTAAATTAATAGTGGAAACTAGTCTTCCAATGGGTAAGTGCCATATTTTATAGTGGATTAATAGTGAATAGTTGGATTAACAGTTCGACCCTGAAAATGACCAATTTATAGTGGTTTTACTAGTCTTCCAACCCCGACTCATGGCAGGGTCGTCATGTTAATTTACTGGAGGGTATAAGGATCTATATATAGAGATAGCCATCATGTAGCCATCATATAGCCATTATATATAGAAAATCACATGTAATTATTCAATTATCCCATCGAAATATGATCCATCAAATGATCCAATCATCTATGATGTAATTCATCATGCTATCTGATGATAGATAATCTAAATATAGATATAGAAGAAAATGGATGATATCCCATCAGATAATGTTATTTCCATGATGGATGTGATAACTAGAGGGTGATAGATATAGATATTGAAGTATCCCATCTAATTGTAGATATATATTACTGCACGATAGTTTGTAAAAATTATTGATAAAGTACTTATTCTGTTGTTGACAATACTAAGTTCCAATACAAAGACAATGGATGATAGTTGTATATTGAACTTTTCCTGCATGCAAATGGGGGTTGGTATAACCTCTCTGAATATAAATCCCATCGAACTATACATATGCTACAAAACTACAATATATAACAGTATCCACAATAAGTCCAAACAGTTGTCTTATATAAACCATACCATGAAAAGGTATAAGGTACAAGGTGGTGCCCCATAGTTGCTAAGTTGGTTTATAACTAGGTTAACTGGAGTTTATGGTGATTAGAACTATACTTAAATGGGGTTATAAACCAACTTACAACTAAGGGGCACCACCTTAAGGATCTATAGAGATAGTCATCATATAGCTACTAACTATAGATGTGGGATCATGAACCAATGTAGTTATATACTATCCCAACAGATGGGTACATACTATGACTATGTACATATTTGGGGTTTGGGGCTTATGACCCAAGAATATATATATATATATGTAGCTATACCAACAATCCATATTCATCTGTATATATATATATATATTATACTGTATATGGATTGATAGGGATTTTTTGGTGATCTATAGGGACAATAGTGGGAATTTCCAGCCATAGTTACGAAGACTTTCCCAGCAAACCTCCAGCCATAGTTTGTTCGGGGATTTCCAAAAGGCCACATGGCTGACTACCGGTATACACTTAGATGTCGTCTAATCATGAGATATGTGCTGTAGGTCGTTTTCTTTTCATGAATACATATTTACAGTGTATAAATAAATAAATATATAAATATATATTTATACATTCTACATGCATTTCTTTTTAGACATTTTATATAGTATACATACATAATATATTCTACTCACCTGAAAATCCGAGACTGTCACCAAATCAATGGGTAGAAGCACCAAATAGTTCCGGATTTGATCCAGAGATAAACGCGATTTCTATACAACAAGACTGGAGATATCCTGCAAAAAACATTCAAAAACTCAACAACTTGTTTCCCCAAAAACAGCAATCGGAATTGGGTATGGCATGTTCTCCTCGAACTGGACGATGGGAAAAATGACAAGAAACCTGCATATTTTGAGGGTAAAAAGCCTGGTTTCCCGTCAAGATGTTCCCCAAAACCAATCCATTGCATGTCTGTTTTCAGCGGTTTCCCACCATGACGTTGAGGTATCACCTCCAGCCCTCGAGAAACCCTGAAGTTGGGATAGTAATATCTGCAAAAGAAACCCTGAGAAGTGATCTGCTTTAGACTTCACCTTGTAACATCCAGCACCAAACATCATCAAACTAGCTTCCACTTTGCGAATGGAGAGCGACTAAATCCAGTAACTAGCTCATCTTCTGCTGCAACATCATGTTATATTCCCAATCAATCCAATCATCAATCCAATTCCAACCAGTTTGCATCAGAAATCCAATCTATCAAGCTGTTTCTTAGGCCCCCAAAATAAATGAAACCGTTCATTTTTAGGACCAAAAACTCAAAAACATTCTGCCGCCGCTTTCGGCTCCCGGCTGCGGTGCCTGTCGCTCCACCGCTTTGGGTTCCCATGGCGATTGCATCTTGGGCACTCGCTGATGCTTCAAGCGTAGCGCCCTCCAGGCGCGCATGGCGCTCTGCTGCGCTGCAGTGGGAAAAGTGCTGCCGGGAGGCTCGAAGTACAGCCTGCGGGGATGCTGGTTGGGGACTGAAGTAAACACTACATATGCGTGTATATATATATATATATATCATATATAATATATGTGTATATCATATATAACATATGTATATATATATATGTATTATATCATACATACATATATATATATATATCATAAAATATCATATCACATTATATCATATCATATCATATTATATAGTATATATAGTATATAGTAAATAGTATCTAGTATATAGTATATAGTGTATAGTATATAGTATATAGTATACGCAATTTGTACGCATATAATTTGATATCCAACTTATCTACATTATCTATGCTGTAGATACTGTACATTGTACACCACACATATCTGTACATCACGTTAAGACGTTCAAAATGGATTTAGATGGCAACATTCGCCTGGACATGTACACAGTGTCTGGGTTTCAAATGAGGGTTTCCATAGTCATGGGGGATCCCCAAAATAGTTTGTGTATGGAAAATCATTATGGATGATAACTGGTGGTCATCTCTCCCATTGGAAACCTCCAAATGGTTTCAACCAAAATCCTGTGGATCTTTGATTTTAGCGTACCAGGAAAAGTGAGAACAATCTCCAGCGTCCCGACAGCCTCAAAGCTTGATCAGAAAAAGAAACAGTTCGACGTGAGCAGTGATGAATTCTTCATCAGTCCACCATGAAACCATCAACCCATGAACCAACTGATCCAACTGGATCTTGTGGCAAGTTCTGCGAAATTCCCTGAGTCTTTGAATGTCATTGATTTCCGCATCTTTGGTTTAAGCACCACCTTCTAACTCCTACCAATTAAAAAAGAAAGAATGGTTTCTGCCAAGGTACTGGATGCCCTCCTCGATATCTGCAATGGCTTTTCGATGAAGCCTGCAACACAACTGGGACTCGAAGGGCTCGAAGGACTTCAATGGGAGATCTCCAGGATCCAACAGATGGAGGTACCTAAAGGTACCATTTTTCAGGCCATAGAAATTGGGGGTATATACCCTGAAATTAAGCTCTGAAAAATAGGCCTTATATATGGTAGGTACCTCCAATTTAGGATCTTGGAATGGCCATTGACTACAGATTCGAACCGCTTTTTTTTTCCTTGTACTGTTTCATCTTCATCGCTTGTTCCAGCAAACCATAGGTTGTTTACTAGAGTCTAACCGCTTTTCAATGCATGGATTGCATGGATGGGGCCAATCTAAAGGAACCATGGCTACCACCCATTTAATTGGTAGGTATTGATAGGTCATATGCAGGAATCCTCAACTAACACATCGATCACTGCCAGGTTTGTCAAGTTGTTCCCTTTTCTTGCACCAGTGTTTCTGCCTGTTACTTTTTGTTGATCAAAGAACAAAGACAGAAGGTATACGGTATACACCATCAGTGGTTCTGGCTGCCCATGAAACATGCGTTATTGGCCCAACAATGTAAACATTTCCACTGCATGTTCACCAAGAATCAATAAATGTCAATCATATCCCCAAAAATAGATGGTCAACAAAAAAGTGGTTTTAGTGAATGAACCGCTTGGGAACTAATGCAACATCTAAAGTGTTCTAAAGTCATCGACGAAAAGCAAATCCAAGGCGCTGTTCAAAGGCGTAGTTGCACTGCATCACCAGTTCACTGCTCACCAAGGAATCAAGACTTGGTGCCTCCTGCATTGGACGTTGCAAATTGCCCCGATATGTTTTTCAGTTTTCGAAATAGTCGAATTATGCCATCATGAATGTACCATAATGTATCATCGAAAGATGGGAAAGGATGGGAAAGGAACAATCCGACAGAATCCGCCACCAAACTTTACTACGATTTATGTATATATTTACCTATCTTTTTGGCGATTGCTATGTATGGCTTTGCCCAAAAATAGGGCACCAAAATCTGGAGCACCCCGAAATCTATCCACTGGTTGATCATCATGTTCCGCAAAATCATTGTGGCTGTTTTTTGTGGTTTCCAATTTCCAGGTCCAAACCCAGTTTGGTCATATCCTATTGTTGGTTGAATATTGCAATTATCTATCTTATTCTCTATCATATTGAACTATCCCCCATTTTGATGGGTTGAATTTTGACGCCCTATGTTTGTTGTCTGGAACCCCTATATGGGGATGTGTCAAAGCCCCCGCTTCTGTTCACATCAAAAAAGATGTTTTATAATGTCCCCCTAAAAATGCTGATCCATAGCCAATATTTCCAATCCATGGATGTAACATTAGTCGACTTGTTTAGAAACAACAGTGGCTTTGTTATACTTCATTTTCAAAGAAACCCATAATGTCAACCCTGGATTAATAAACCCCTAGGCTGTTCAATTGGGAGTGTACCATTTAAGTACCAGATTATGACTATTGGAGGAGTACCCCCCTAATTTTCATCAACCATGGTTTAGCAAAATCCGGGGTTGACATTAGCCATAAAGAGACTAACAACTTTGGTGCGGCATCCCCCAATGGTCCGCCCCCGTCTCCAGCTTCGTCGCCGTCTCCAGCTTCGTCGCCCGCGGCCGCGCCGGGCTCGCCGCCGGCGTCGTCCACGCGGCCTTCGGGGCCGCCGCCGTGCTGCCGGACGGCGGCGCAGGCCCCGTCTCCGCGTCAGAGTCCTGGCGCTTGGCCGGTCGAGGTGGACAGCATGGAAAAAATGGGAATGACAAATGTTCTCATTGTAGTATGCCTATTATTAGTGTTAAAGTTATGATTAGCAATCATCTTTTCATAAAATCAATCTGACTATTAGTGTATATTCGTGTTATTTGTTGAACCCTCTCAATGCTGTCCTCTATCAACCCCTTCACCTCGCAGCCTAGCAGTTCACTCGTACGCTTGCGTACCTCCAGGGGATCCCATTGGAAGGTCGAGGTCCCTCCAGGCCTGCCAGTCGTCATCTGAAAATCAGATGACCAAAAGAGTCCGGACCTGAAAATAGGCTACCCCCAATTCCAGTGGATGGAATTAGATATAAATATAAATGATATAAAACCTCATTGTTTCCCGATCATTTGATGGCAATCTGGGGATATCCCCTATTTTCAGACAAACTCAAAATGGGCCAAGTGGGCTTTGCATTTGAGGTACCGTCAGTGTCTGTGTTCTCCAAAATTAGGCACACATCACGTCAACAAAAAATTCATTGCGAGCACCATTCATGAAGAGATCCAGTACCAAATCTGGCTCTCGTTTGGGGGGTCTTTAATACGTTTGGGGGATGGGATTAGTTCAATAACATTCAATAACATTTTTTTTTTCACAGGAAGTGATGATGAGTCACTCACCAAAAAACCAAGTAGTTGTCCCTGATAAAACTTCTATCCTCTGGCAGCTCATGATGTATCCAGCACTGTGGAGACGTAGCGAAGCCTGGCTGTCCCTATTCATATCCACTCGACTCATCCATTGATGCCAGTACCCAGCCCTCAAGTTGCAGACAAAACCCCATGCGGTTCTCCCGAAAACAGTGAAGTCTAAAGCCCATTTGCAGATTGGGAAAATTAGAATAAATAAGAATGATTGAAACCGCTGTATAATCGGTTTTAATGTAGTAAACCCAATAATAAACCACCAGTCTTGCAGGGTTTCTACCACCCCCCCACCTGGTGAAATTGGGAGTGGTTTGTCGTTGGGATCACATAATTGGTGACATACCCAGCCCTCATTTATGGTAGTTTTTCACATCCCCCCTGCAGTACCCAAGCGCCTGCCCTTGAGGCTCAGTTGCTGTTTCCACTCACGGAATTTGATGAACTCGCCACGCACCTCGGGTGTCACAAGCCGTGTCCATGTCACCTTGCCTCTGGATAGAAACAATCCAAACCAACTTTGTTGGGCGGTCGGGGCGAATCGCCTCCGCTGAAGTCGTTGGAAGTCACTACGGGGCTATGGCATCTATGGTTGTTTCTGGGCCCACTTCCAACTATTTTCGGTGCGGCTGCCACGGCAAAAACACTGTTGCAAACCAAACACATTCCAGACATTCCAGACCTCCAATTCTGGTTCTCTAATGTCAAAGGGGCGTTATACAGGCCAAAGGACCTAACGGAAATTGTACCAAAATGTACAAGGCAAAATCGTTCATCTTCAGTGCCTGTAGATTTTGGATCCGTACAATACTTGTTCCAGGTGAGGAGCTACGGCATCAAGTGATGTGCAAACCTTGAGGTAAAGCCTTAGGAAAGAAAAAAAGGAATGTCCAAACAAAAGTAGGATACTGTACCTGCAAATCTCATGATTTCGAAATTTCAAAAATCAAAATAGCAGAGTTTTTTGGCCCATCCGCACCCAAATATCAAGTTGTTTCGGCTTCCCGGCTTCCCGGCTTCCCGTCCCCTTTATAGTCCCCATAGTCCCCAAGATGCTGAGATTTACATCACCCATCCCCCGAAAAATGCCGCGCCGCCCGCAAGAGGTGGCCTGGCGCGAAAGCCCAGCTGAGGGGCCGTTCTGTGGCAAAAAACACGGTTGCTTTAGAGTTATTTATCAAAGTGCGGTTGTTTAATCGAACTTTTTGGGGTGATCAAACTTTAGGGAGTTATTTATCAAACTTTTGGAGTTGTTGATCGGCCCAATTTTGGCCAGATTGTGGATTCCCAGGAGTCTGCTGGAGGTCAAATTTGGATCGTTTTTGGAGCAGTTTTTGACATTTTGTGTGGGTCATGTTTTGGGTCATGTTTTGGGTCATTTGTTTGACCAATTGTTTCAACAAAGGTTACCTTTTGTCTCTGGGGGAAGCAACATGTGAAAAACAACACTATCATCTCCAATTTGGAAATCATAGAATCAGGTTTTCTACATTCAGAATTCAGAATGAATCTATGAATGATGAAGTCGTTGATGAATTTGCCAATTGTTGTTCATTCGCATGATGCACTGAGATCTTGTTGTTGCCAGACGCATTTTCAATGGACACATTGGAGTAGTGATCATCTAACTTCTTGTAAATCTACTATCATTTGCTGTTTTGGGATTTATCGCCAACCATTATGATTTCTCATGTTTTCTCATGATTTTAAATTCCAGTAACCTATAGACCCTGCCAAATGGGGGTTGGAAGATTAGATTCCACTACAAATGGGCTATTTTCATCTATTTTCAGGGTCAAACACTGAATTGAAAGGAGGGTTTTTCACCGTGGCACCCCTGCAGGCCTGCCACGCGTTCTCCCGGCCTGGCCGTTCTGGCTACGCCAATGATGGTTAGGATGGATTGGCCAAAATGTAAAACAAACATGTGGCAAACCGCCGCCAAAGTGAGGTAAAATGATGTTATGTGGCGAGGGGAACTGGATTCTTGAAAAGCAACAAACAAATGATTGAAAAGCATGTGTTCTGCACAACCACCCATCCCATAGTATCAGCTGGGTTGGTCTTTGAACAACACAGCGCAAAAAGTGCCAGTCTATATTGGATAATTCAAAGATGGAAAACAACAAAGTTGCCATTTCCAAAGAGGACAATATATCATATAATAGGGGGATGGGTCAAAACCCCAAAACCCTGTACCCCTGGTGAACATATTCGAATAGCTGGTCAACGGGAGTTCCATCCCCGGATTTCTGGGCATGGATCCCCATAGCCTCTGGTAAACTAACAGTTTGCTATTGAAAATGGCCATAGAAATAGTGAATTTTCCCATTAATAGCATGGTGATTTTCCATAGTTATGTAAACGTTTACCAGAGGGTAGCCATACAAGTATCTTGGTAACATTCTGGATCCACCAGTGACCATTGCCCTCATCCCAGCTCCATGCGCTACATGCCCACCTGCGTTGTAGCTGTGGAGTGTGGCGGGACGGTGATTCCGCCATGGCTCAAGGATTGTCATCTGAAGCCACTGGACATGCGGCTGCTGCAACTGGAGTTTCTATGTTCCAAAGACCTCAGAATCAGAAATGAAGCCCCCAATGTCATCTAGTTAAATGTTAAATCACATCTAAAATCACCTTGTCAGAAGGCACTGCAAGGAAAATCCGGCTCACTTCCATAACTTTCAAGATTCCCATGGAAGGATTCCCTGAAGCTCCAGCCACAAGTGCTCCCTTGAGCACGATCAGCCACGGGATGTCACGTTGGGGCATGCTGAAAAGGCATGGTTATGGCATGGCATGGCATCATTTACTATACCTACCATCTGGTTATGACATTCACAGTTTGCCATGGAAAGATCCACCATTTTTAAGTTCGGTACACCATCTATTTCTATGGGTCATCTATACCATGGCTATGTTGAAGAACCAGAGGGTAATTGGGCCATTTTGAGGCGACATCTTGAGAACATGTCCAGCCTCCGGGGCCAACCACAGGAGGACCAGCCGAATTTTTGACCCGAGCGGAGTGCAACATCTCGCCACGGAAATGGGCAAAAGTGAGCAACGCTACGCTTGGTGGTGCCCCAGTTAGCGACCTTGGTTTACAACTAGATTTACTGTTGACAATTTGTGTGTTTATCTAATATCATCTATATATACATAGTTGGGATTATGAACTAACTTTGAACTGGGGGGGCACCACATTGTAAGGATTTGAGCTTGTCCAACCATCGGGCTTACTGGGGTACCCAAACATAATGACAATAGGAGAAATGATGATAACCCATATCATAATTTTGGTGCGCACTATTTCTAGACCGACCCATTTAGGAAAATGCTCAGAATATGAGAGAACCAAGAGCAAACACCATGCTGGCTATAGAGCTTGCCTACTACCTACTATTTTTTGGGCTGTAATTTTGATCCCGTTTGCGCACGATCTGTCTTTGGGACCAGACTTCGTGCGCAAATTGATGCAACTGACACAAATGTCTGAACAGTTTTCAAGTTTCTAAAATTATTCAATTTTTAAATTAGCTCAGTATGAGATGAATCCCGTTCCTAATCATCATTTCTAGTGTTCAGTGAGGTCGTTCTTCTCCATCCACATATTTACAGATATAGATATACACATATCTACATCAAAAAAGAAAACCATCAGTTGGGTCCGTAAAACACTAATGGGGCCATGGGATTCCAATTGGGGGCCAACCCTCTGTTAGGTCAGTGGATTTCAAAACCCTCTGCCATTTCATGTATACTGGTTGGTTAAGAACAGGATTCCCCACTTCTCAATTGAGTTTGAAGGCGTCATGATCGCCATGGACAACTTTCAATAACTCGGGCAAATGATGGAACATTTCACGGGGAAAACAGAGAACAATCCCTTCTTATCATTTGAAAGGCTTAGGTGGCGCACCACAAGTATGCTCATCACAGTTGGCTGCATGGAAAATAGAGAAAAATAGTACAAAATAAAAAGAAATATACATATGAAAGCATAGGATGTCATAGAGAAAAATAATTCCACATAATATCAAATAAAAAACATCTCAACAAATAAAAACAAATAAACACCAATATCATAAAATAAAAACATATATCAAAAGATATGAACATATTTCATCGACTATCATACTACTATCAGAACAAAGTGCAAATGAAGGGGTCGGCCCCCTAGAAGGAACTCTGCCCAATGCTTTCTTAGTTTTGGGTTTGGGAAGAAATAGAAACACAAATAAACTCAAAATAAGCAAGCCACATTTTTTTTTTCAGCATCTGAGACCGCATAAATGAATGTGTAGCCTAAACAAATTACCTTTATTTAACCAGTGAAAAAGACTTCAATATCTGCGACCTCCATAATTGACCTGTAGTCTACATTAATATGTCCTTCAAAAAAAGCAAAGGTATTTCAAAATCTAAGCTCCATGATTCGATTTGTAGCCTACACAAGAACTAAGCAAGTGAAAACCTGGGCTGCCCTAATTGGATTTGTAGTCTACAATGGAAAAAATAAAAACATATTGTTTCATGAAAGCAAATTTGGCAAAAAAAACTGAAACAAATAAAAACACATCGATTTAAATTGATTTTTTGGACCACAATTGTTCACCGCACCCAATTTTACCACCAAATTTGAACATGTGTTTGAGAATTGAATGCATTTTGGCACCAAATTGATTGCACCATATAGGCCCAAATTTGCCTTTTCAAATATTGAAGAAACGAAACTTAGACCGATCATTAAATAACACCATATCAGACACTTAAATAATACACATATTCAATATTTTGATCGGTGGTTGAATATAATATACCATATCAAAATATATTCATATAATTATATATATATACATATATATATATATACATATATTCAGCAAATAATACCATATCAAAATAACTCATATTTTCAGCAGTGGTCGCAGGACATTGGCCATGTTTAATCTTTTATTGAGCACAAGATATTGCAGAAACTTCACATGGAAGGGGTGGCCGTTTCCTCCACATTGTGGTACATGATAATCTTATATAATCTTCATGAAGACACCCACGCTCATATATTTATGTTCATTAAATACTATGATTATGATGTTTTATTTCTTACTATAGTTTAAATTATTTTAATAGGTTCTTGTCATTTGCTTCTATTTGTTTTTATTTGTATTTATTTTTACTTATTTGTTTTCATTTGTGAGACCTCTGATGAGCCATCTTCCAATGAGCCCCCTTGTTCTTACAAAAGATCTTAGCAAGTTAGTTACGACGACATCAGATCCGCCCTGCACCGGTCTAGAAGAATCCTGCCACTACGCCGGGTATCTGCTCTGCTTCACGAATTTGCCTCGCGACTGGCTGAAACCGCAGTTGATGGTTGGCTAACATGTACTCGGCGGGACAGGTTGACATAGCCATAGAAAATGGCCCATGATAGATGTTTTATTATACCTCTTAAAAACGATGACTTTCCGTAACTATGTTACATAACTAGAGGGTATCTCTGCTCATTCAACTGATAATATCTCGTATTCGTCCTGGCACCGAAGGTATAATCTTTGCATGGCCAATAAAAATCACTTATATACAAAGCCTGAATAATCCATAATAATTCACCAATCTGAAATAATTATTGACCATTTGGGGATGATTCCCCTTATTGACCATCCTTCCGACGTCGTAGGCCTCATATTTTGTGCGCAGAAAAATGGCGAAAAAAAACCGACAAGAACCTGTTACTTCGATGAGTTTCCCATAAAAAATCTCCATTGAGTTTAGGAATTTCCCATATTTTGATGACACCAGGGGTTAACCCAGATACCCAGACCCAGATACACTGGAGGCTCGCCTACTCCCCTTCAAGGATCTGGCGCGCACGTCTCAACCTGCTGCGGAGTGGCATGTTGCAATAGCTGAATGGGTTAGAGGCTGTTCTTTTGTAAGGAATTACTCCGTGTTTTTGATTAAAGTTTGCTGATGTCTGTTCTTTTGAAACGGAACTCATGATTTTCCTGAACAACCTGCGGCGAGTGATTGCAAAAATGATGGCGGCTAAGATGTAATGATTGAAAAATATTGAAAAAAATAGTTTGATGATTTTCGCAACTATAAACCTTCGTTCATAGGTGATTTTCCCATTGAAACCTCCATTTATTGATGGCTGTTGTAGATTTCCCCGTGAACCCAACTGGTTCAGCCATCCAGTGCATCCTGAAAAGACCTGTCATATATACACAGGAAGGCAAGCGGAACAAGCTATGAAACTGCTAACCAGTTTGGTTCCAAATCGTTGGTGTCTTCCTCTTGGCAGAAGCAACAAAACCAGTGAATAGTTAATGGTTCAGGCTATGTTCAGACATGTTCAGACATACAAGTAGAATAATTAATCCTATCCCCCCAATATTAAATCCCATACTAAACCAGAAGGTGGTATTTATACTAAGGGAAAGGGATCAGTCATGAAGCTCCAGGTACCTGTGGAAAACCTTGGGTCATCCAAGACCAAAACCGTCACCGCGTAGCGTCATGGGATGTCATGTGAGGCCCCCAAGTTACCAAGTTACATTTTACCCGGCCTGGTAAACGGTCCCAAAAAACGATGGAAAATCACCATGATTTTCATGATTACCATGGGTAAATTTGGGTAAATCAACTATAAATCACCATTTTCAACAGCTATGTTTGTAAGTTTACCAGGCCGGGTACATCATTTTACGATAGTTGACCAGCCATGTGTGGCCTGAATTGGAAACCAGGCTGCGGCGACTGAAGCATATCCCGGAGCGGATAGAATATCAAGTTGTCCACGTAAATCCACCCATCCCCACCATGGGAACTATATATATATACAAGTGGAAGTCAAATGATATCATGATCTACACCAGAATGGTATCATATGTGATATATGTAGATGAATATGTATAATTATGCATACATATACACATAGAATTATCTCTATATACTGTAATAAGCATATAATATATCCGGTCACATACTATATTGTATATGTGTATAATATTGTATAATATTAATATCATACATAATACAAGTTACAATTATCCTGGAATAGATAGAAATGTGGGAGTTGCCCAAAGCATTCCTGTTTTTTCGTCGCCGAGGGGCCACCCCTCCATGGCAGCGGCTCCGCTCTCGAAGTTCAATACCTGGCTTTGTCTTAAAATGATTCCTCCAAAATGGTCATGTGTAGTGGAGATATAAAATGATATGGGGATGGGTCAAAACCCTGGTACCTCGTGAACCCCAAAATAGCTGGTAAATGGATGTTCATCCCACTAAAAATGTATCTATAGGTATTGACCCATACCCATATAAACATAGATTAAAATTTTAAGACAAAGTCATATACCATCCAAACATTCTGGAAGTGCTGTTTAAGAAGTAGATACTTCGACACAAGGAAATATAGGAAATTGGGAGCAACGACCACTTCCAAGTGGCAGCTAAAACTACCGAATATTTTGCTCGTTGCTGGTTGGATTACCTCTACGCTTCTTTTATCTTTTGGACTTGGCTTACCTGTAGATTTGCACTATGCAGGGGATTAACCTGACTAACCTGAGGTGTGTGATATGGAAGAGCATATCTGTTGGCAAAACATGGGATCGCAAAAAAACTCCGTGTTGAAAAACCGCTGGCACTGGTAGAGCTCCACACTTTCGCATAAAAAATGGCAACACGTCATCTGCCACATAAATAGAAGGGAAAACTGGGCACTATCCTAATTCCATCTAATTCCCATATCCCAATTGTAAACCGGCACTACTGCTTAGACTACTGCTTGGCTCATAGGAATCTTCATCACCCAGGAAATCAAAAGCGATCAATCCTGAAAACTGAACTAGAATCATGTCCAGCTTGGTATGGGTCAAAACGTCAGATTCTACAAAGCACCACTTTCTCTTAGACAGTGATCCTATTCGGGGCCAGAAGCATCTAGGGGCACTCATCCAAATACTGTCCCATCCACATGTGATCCCAAAATCCAGTGGCTTATCATCATTGTCATTATTAACCATTATTATCAATTCTTAACCACATTAATTAACCATTATTAACCATTATTGACCAAAATTATCAAGTATCCTATTCTTAACCATTATGAAAACCATTACCGTTTATTAAATCATTTCCCCGAATCACCAACCAGTGAAAATCATTATCAACTTATATACTTGTGCTAAACGTGACTATCGGGAACTATCGGAAATGATCTCAGAATGATCCACTGGCGAAGTATCAATCCCAGCAACCCCCAACCCATCCAGCACCTGCAACTCGCTGACCAACTGTTCCAAGCCCAGAACTTTGTCCGCCTGGTGAAACTGGGGACATCTACGGTTGAAACCAGTTTTTTCAACTACCAAATCTGGGGGGGTCCTGCAAATTGTATGAATTTGTTCCACTGTCCATTTTCGGGAATGTGATGGAATGTGGTACTTAAAAGCTTCGAATGATGTAGTGCAGAAGATATTGTTGGGGTACAGTATCTTCGAAAATGAGGACCCAACATTTATTCTTGAGATCTTTTGCGCAGGAAATCCAATGGGTTTGGGGTTCTCCAATTTTAAGTGCACCGATTTTCCTGGAATTGTGAAGCTTGTACAGCTTGTGCAGCAGTGTTTGCATGTATTGTACCTATAGAATCTAAATGTTCAAACTGTAAGTAATTTTTGGGACTAGCCCAAGAAATCTTGTTTGTTCAACATATCATGCAGCATCCTCAATTTTTCCTGAAAAAAACACGTTGTTTCATGTGTTTCTATGCTTCAACTCCCCATCCAGAGTCAAAATATTGGTGAAAAATAGCGAGTTTTTGACCAGGGAACAAAAAAGAAACCACCAAAATGGTGCTTACCATCTATAAATGGGCCATTTTCCATGCCTATGTTAAATAACCAGATGGTAAATACATTTAAATACACCGTTTTCTGAACATCCCCAGTATTTAAGCTCTAAAAAAATGTGAAATCCGTCTGTGTTTGTCCAAAAAATAGGGTGCCAAAACGTATCATGATTTATCAGTACGTTCGCATTAATAAGGCAAGAAATGAAAGCATCCATTTTTGGACCAACCCATGTATCATACATAACCCAATATGAATTATATGTATTATGAAATATCATCAGTCAATACCACTCATGTCCTGAGTCAAAAAATTACATCACCATATTTTGATATCCTCATCAATATGCTGTGCAATTAGTCATGCTACCCTCATGGTGGTTTTTCCATATCTATGTTAGTTTAATGAAGATCATGAAGGCTACATGCCCTCTGGTAATCCAACGTAGCTATGGAAAATACATGAAAAATGTCATCTTTTTAATCGATAAAATCATCTATAAATCATCCAAATTGGGCCACTTTCTATAGCTATTATCATTGCCAATCTTAGATACCCTGCAACAAATGACAAATTCTTTGCTGGTGAACGTACTGTTAATATCAAAAGACTAGTTAGGATTAAAGTACCCTAATAGTAATTAATAGAGACTGACATAGTAATTGATAGTAATTTTCATAGTAGTTAAAGTACCCATAACTAGGTCAATCTTCCCATTCCTCTATAAGATTGACCTAGTTAAACGTCAAATCCCGAGGATTGGTCCTATCGATTTCACCCGATTTCAGCGAAAAAACCTGCTGCCATGGTTTCGCCTCCTTCAGACGCTGCCGTTGCGCCTCTGACAGCTCCTCGACGGCGGCCACCGTTACGGACGGCTGAAAATTGGAAAATGTCAGAAGAATCTGACACTCATTGGATTCTGATCTGACATACATCCCAATCTGACATTTGATTATTTGGAAGATTGGAGAATCCAATGAGTGTCAGATTTGATCAGATTTGATCATTCTTACATTGATCTTCCAATTTATTTACAATCAGATTGTGACGATTGGGACTGAAAATTGGATTTGATAGTTGGGATTTTGGAAAATTGGGATATGCTGACGTTTAAAAAAATTAACCAGCAGAAACGTTGACTTCAACAACAAACATGTGGAGTTTAACCAGCAAACATGGCGGGGTTGACGATCCCTTTATGATTTTACCAGCAAACCCTTGTGGTGTTGAAGGAAGGTGGGTGTTGGATGTGTAAGCAACAAAAAATCATGAAACCGGCAAATAGCGGATTTCAATCAGCCAACATGGCACCAAGAAAATGATCGGTAGGGAGTTAAGCGGAAAAAATCGAAAATTCCGAGGATCAAGGGCATCTAACCAGCAAACAACAGAACATACGTTGCTTGATATGACCGATACCAACAAGTGACTGTCATTGTTCAAACGACGCCGGCGCCGACGACGACGACGACGACGATTTTTGTTTTATCGTTACTGAATCGTTACTCTTCTGCTTGCGTGATACTCTCGACTTATCGTGGCATGTTCTCCGTTCTCTCCTCTCGCGAGGTGCGTAGCTGTCGCAAGGCTTGTTGGCGCATCTTTTCCAGGAATTCGATCCTGCAACTGCTGGGTTGAGCCGAGCCGAGCCGTATTGTGCATGACATCGACTGGTTCTCTTTTCCGGAAATGCGAAATAAAGACATGTGGATATATATACTTAGATATGGATGGATGGATGGATTAGGATTAGATTAGATTAGACTAGATTAGAGTAGATAGGTTGGGTTAGATTAGATTAGATTGGGTTGGCTTAGATTAGATTGGATTAGGTTAGGTTAGGTTGGGTTAGATTGGATAGATAGATAGGTAGATAGAGATAGAGGTACATATACATATACATATGCAAATACATATACATATACATATACATACACAAACACATATACATATACATACACAATCATACACATATACATATACATATATATATATACATATACATATACATATACATATATATATACATATACATATACATATACATATACATACACATTTGCATATACATATTCATTTTCATACACATTTACACATACATATTCATATACATATTCATATTCATATTCATTCGCATATGCGAATGCATATGCGTATGCATGTGCATATTCATTTGCCTATGCATAAATATATATGTATATTGTATATACATATCAATATATTGATACAATTCACGAAAGAATGTACGTTGTATCACTGCCACAAATTCCACTGCTACAAAAGCAGAAAGTAGCACTTGCCAAACAAGATAGAGACGACATGAGATAACACAATATGGCCCGTAGCGCCACTTGCTTCATCTTGTCAGCGGAAACAGCCAATCAGCTGCCTTTTTTGGTAAACTTTCGGGCCACTAGTCTTGAGGCTCTTGCAATTCGTTCACAATACTACAGCAGTTAGTTCCAGAACAAACCCATCAGTTTACTTTTTGTCACCCTCACGACTCACAATCGTCCAGCTTCTTTGAGCTTGCTATATAACAAGAGGGCACACAAGCCCTTGGCATCTGGAGACAAATGCCACAAGTCTGCCAGAGGAACAAGGCACAACCTGTGCAGGGAATGGCCCCAAAGGCATCTTTCGGTTCTGGGGAGTTTGAACTTTTAACTATACCAGTATTAGATCAAATCCAAAAAAGACCGCCTTATTCATGGCTAGCCTGGATTTTTAATAATTCACGAATGGTTAGACATTTTGATCATAGCCGAATATGGGTCAACACTTTTGTTGCAAAATCGCTTTCTTAAGCTGTGGCAGCCAAGGTTTCGCCGACCTTCGAGAAGCAACCGATTTTGGGTGATAGTATGACGCCCCAGCCAGCCAAGGGTATGCAAACATAAGTGTATCATAGTGTATCCATGTTGAGGTATCAAACCATTCAGTTCAAGCACTTTACCAGTTATAGATAGTAATAACATCTAATAAATATGGTGTTCATTGTTCATTCCATAAGAGCTGGTAAAGGGCCATAACTGTTTGGCATATTCTCCAGTATCTATGCTAGTTTATTGGAGTTGAGTTTCCACACTGCTAGATATTACCCTCTGTTGCTGGTTTCAGTCTGTGACGAACCGCTCTGTCAACTAGCAACTTGATCTTCTCGTTCTCTTCCCGCAACCCCATCAATTTCCTTAGTGGTGCAAGTTCACTGCGCACAGTATGGCAGTTTAACTGGATCAACTACACCGCCACGCTGGAGATAAAACCAATGAGATTGGAAATGCCACCACAGATTAGTATTCAAATGCACATATAGGAGTCATCAAATGAATCGCCAACGGAAATCATGTAAAAGGAGGAAACCTATAAGACCTATAAGGATACACAAATGCTGGGATCCGTTCATGATGCCATCTGCAAGCTGCAAAACCAATCCACAAATTCCAGCATAGTCTTAGCTAAAGAAACACAGGTACAAAATGACACCTATGAACGCAAACTCGTCCTGAGAATGATGGGTATTTGTCAGGCTGACTGGGATACCCATTGATGATGCTCTAAGACAAGAAACCCTGCCGGAGGAACTTGTTTGAAGGCACCCCTTTTGCACTGCAAAGTAACGCAAAGATTGATCAGTGTGTTGAAATAACACTCCAATGAAATTGGCCTAGGTAAGTGCTAGAAACAACTACCCTCTGGTAAACTAACATAACTATGGAAAATCACCATTTTTAATGGGAAAACTCACTATTTCTATGGCCATTTTCAATAGCTACGTTAAATTACCAGAGGGTATTGACAAAAGACTCTACGCTGCAGTTTCGCATGGCCTCCCCATGGCGCAGTTTCGCTTCTCCACTCGGAGATCCACCATTTTTCTCCAAGCGTTCGCCGAAAGGCAATTACCCATGACGGATCCGGCTGGTGCTGGTAGAAAAATGCTAACATGACTGGGGTTAATCTTGATGGGATCCATGGAGCACCATATATATTATATTATATATATAGCATACATGGATCCGTCATGGCTTATCAACCAACTTCCAATTTTTTTCGACATAGAATTCCATCCGCTATCCTCAGCATTCAGCAAGCCAACCATGGGTCATGACTGATGTCCCCATGGGTCACATCACCCAACCATGAATGGTATATGGTATATAATGGCTACTATAAGGTGATGTCCTTTATATTCCCAAAATGGGACATTTAATGACCCATGCCAAAAGTTTGCAAACTCGCCCAGTCTCCCTTCCAAACTCAGGATTTCCTCTTGCCGCATCCGCCGGCGAAAGAGAAAGAGCCGAATGAATTCATCGCAGGCCCCCACAGAGGGATACATTCCCTCGAAGTCTTCGCCATAGACCTGCCGGTGATCAACAAAACGCGAAGGGTTGGGAGTCACTTTCACCAACAAAGGAGGCGTAAACTTGGGGTGTAGTCAATGTCAAACAGAGGTTGATAGGTGATTGATTGGGTTGTTTTGCGTGTTGAAATTGTGTATGGCAACATCGTGGAGTTAGTTCACCGACATGGGGAACATCCACAGCATGTCATGGTGAAGGTTTCCACATGGGAGTTCCCAATTCATGGATTATATGATTATACGTCTTCATCTCCGATATCATCCTTGCCAGCAAAAGATATCAACCATCATTCGTGAACTACCTCTGCATATGTCATCCACTAAATGATCCAACATGATCTGAAACCAGATGCGCTTAAACAACCAATAGTTTTAAATGGTTGATCGTTAAACCCATTCCACATGATGCTTAAATCCCATCTAAATGGTCCTAAGGGTATGGGACGAGAACAAGGGTGCCAATGAACCCACAAAGGACTGGCAACTGATCCTTTTTGGTACACCGCTGGGGTCAAGAATTCTTGATCCATACGCATATATACCCAAGAAAACTGCTGTATCAAATCAAGCCTTGACCCCTAGTGTTTGGAACGATTCTGTGCACCGGGCCGACCAGTTGATTTCTCATGGGCCGAGCAGCCAAAGCTGTCATGTCCAACAAGTTCTTGGCGTCACATCCTCCGTTGCGGAACGACGGGAGACTGTTGGACGAATATGGGGCTTGGGGAACTTCGAAGCATGTACGACCTACGTGCCCAACAAGTATGCATACATATATACATATATATATATATACATATATTATAGAGAGAGAGAGGGAGTACAATGTGTATATGTATATATATATATATGTATGCTATATTATACAACTATATGTACATACATCATCAACCTACTTTTACCAATTTTACCGACCAAACACCTTCCCATTTGCGGCGCCGAGCTTCTAATACCAGTCTCTTCCTCCATCTCCCGAGCCATGGCACCTCCAAAGTCTCCATTTCCATCCAGCATTCCAGCAGGAAGGGCCATGTATTGCGGCTGCACGGTGCAAACGTTGTCAATACCTGGCATTGATAAAGCGCGCAGCTGTTGATGGATGTTGATGGTCACGGTGATGTGGGGTCATATTCATTTCACCGCTTGGTCTAAGGGAAAATCTACAGGAAACCCGGGGATTTAACAGGCATCTAGGTGTTTTCGTCTAACTGTTCCTCTAACTTTTTCCTTCAAGCATTCCTAGGATAATTGGTTTCAATGGGGATTATTGAAAAGCTACCAACTATCCAGCTCGCCCTGACTCAAGATTCTGGGGAGATTCCAGAGCGTAAGGAGCCCCAAAAGCTCTGGCTTTGACATGGAACAAAGCAAATTCCAGGGGTTAGGGAATGTTGAACCCTATTTCCAGAAAGTGCCAAATGTAAAAAGGGTTGCAGATGGTTGCAGTATCAACTCCGAGTACAAGTCTCACTAAGTGGACATTGAAAATTTCATGCATTTTGATACCAGGATTCTGGCAGGGTCTGGATTCCAGAGAAATAGGGCCACAGCCCTAGCCCCCAAGACTATACCCCAAGCCATCTGAAACCAAGATGTCCTTGTAATGGAGATCTTTCACCGGCACGTGTTCCCCTCCCAAACCATCAAGCCAAAGAGGCGAAAAAAAATCGACGAATCTTGCAGTCTGCCAAGTTGCGCACTTGCAGACAATATTCTTTCCCACTTTCTGATTCCAAAATCACCAGAACTGCCACTGAGCCTCCACGGAGGAAACAGATTCCTGCCAGTGGATCCCCATCACCTCGGATCAGACTCTGGCTGGTTGGGTAAAATGGCTGCAAACTAACCAAAATATGGCTCCCAATAAAAGATGACGTGTGTCAAGTTGAATCATACAGGATCTATATTATATATATATATATGTATTATATATTATGTATGTGTGTGTGCTTAAAGAACAGGCTTTAAATGAAGATGGCCCTTCCCTCACATGGATTCATTGATCGTCAGAGCACAGCAGAAACTCTGCTCCCACAGTTTTTCCGGTCTGGGTAGAGTTACTGTGAACTGGACCATCTTCCAAGGGAAAGCAACGAAGCATCTCGCATCTCAACAACCAACTTATTCCAGCTGCACCCCAGTTGTTCCTGAATCAATCCCCATGTTGCCATGTTGGCTCAGTGAAATCCTGACGGATAAACTCAGCCACCATCCAAGTGGCGGTCATAGACCTCTGATTTAAGCTTCACAAAGCCCACTTTATTGCCGAACATGTCAACTGACTGAACCTGTCTGGATCAGGGTCCAGGAGCATGTTTGTTTCCGCTTTTTGAACATCACATTCTGGGTGGCTTCAGAACTATTTAGTAGCTGTTTCAAGTGGCGGTGTTTGAGTGACTGTTTGAGTTTAGCCAAACATGGGGTGCCTAAAAGAATCGAAAAACTGATAACTTGGCAAGAATGAGCGAAACCTTCAGATATGTCAATACTATATGTGAGTAACGTCTTTAGGGTTTTGTTGAAGCATCAAAATCATTGGTTCCCAGGTCGCAAAATCCATGCATCCCATTCTGTGTGCTCCAGATTCTGGTCTTCAAAGGTCTTCACTCATCCCACCATGGCGCGTGCAAGAAAGGTGATTTCGAGTTGGTCAACGCATCTTCACCCCATCAATGCTCACCTACCGAAAGCCACCCATGTTTTTACCATGGCTTCCCGATTTTTTTGGGCGCAGCCCTATTTTCCAAATGGTTGTCCTCAGCATCGTCCTCTTAAAAGATCTTTAAAATCGCTATTTTCATGTGGCGTCCTTCCATTTTCAGAGCCAG